GTCTCGGTTCAACCTTGCCGCCCTCAGCGCCGCCTAATCCCTTCTCCATTCCTCTGCCGGCCAGTGTTCGCACGCAGGCTCCTGCTTCTATGGCCTCGCCCCTGTTACAACCGCGCTCCTCTCAAGTGGTCGCTGCCGCCCAAAAAGACGAGTTTAGAGTGAATTTGCCCGTAGTGGCGGCAAACCCCTTCGATGAGGACGCGATGGGAGAGGACGTGGCGAATAACAACGACACGTTTGATCGCGACCGCCCCGAGAAGGCGGCAGCACTGGGGAGGCAGGAAGAGGGGAAGGATGTGGAGGAAGGAGACTATCCGACCCACCTGAACCCGTTTGCATGATCTCCACCCCGGACAGCTGTTCCCATTATTTGATTTGCTCACCGCCACCACCACTGCCGCCGTCGATATCTCTTTGAAGGTTGCCCCCTCATATTGCTTTCACCCTCCCCCCCTGTCTCTGTGCTTCTTTTGATTTTCATTCCAATCATGACTTTTTTTCATATTCACCCGTCTGAATGTGATCTAGGGGCTGGGATGGTAAAAAGGGCTTTTCATTTGATTTCTGCGAAACTGGCGTGGCCGCGTACCCGTGAACCCGCTGTTTACGCTAGCAGACATCAGGTACAAAGGGGTTTGGACCCTGCTCGCGGTTTGTATGCCCGACAGCAGTCTTATTCCATGGTTTTCGTCACGTTTACTCGTTTTCGGGAATTTTTTTGGGGAGAGATGAGCACCGTGACAAAATAACTGAGCAGGAGGTCACTTCTCATCTGGGGGTTTTAAGTTTGCTAATTATGGAAGAAATCGACCTTACGAAGTATTATAGCAACATTTGTGAATGTCGGGCCGATGGCTTGTTTCGCGATCAAGTGTTTTTTTCATTCGTTTTGGTAGCCATCAGTTGCGCACTGAGCGCCCAGCTTGCATATTTTAGGCCCCATCATGAGCTATGTTCGTGGTGGCTGCGAAACGCGCGGCCGTAGGCTGATTTATAACGAATGTGAGTTCCTTAGAGCATTTCCGATTTGTTTCAAGTGCAAATGCTTGGAGCCAGCAGATGACGCCTGCTGGGCAAGTATATTCAGGCCTTTTATCTGTTGTAGTGTGAAAAATAAGCCGGAAAACAAGATTTTTTCCCAATTATCTGTCTGTGATAAGGAATAAGTAGGCCAGTAAGGGTCTGCCAGAAACACGAGAGACCTGAGGCAACTTGACTGTGGTCAGCTGCAGGCTGTCGCTCCGAGAAATGGGGTCGGCATCATTAACGTTCGGTAGCCATCAATTGCATACTGGGCGCCCAGCTTGAACATTTTAGGTCCCATCATGAGCTCTGTTCGTGGTGACTGCGAAACGCGCGGCATTAGGCTGATTTATAACAAACTCATATAAAAATGCGAGTTCCTTAGCGCCCTTTCCGATTTGTCTACCCATCCGATGGAAAGCTAGGCGCGTTTGGCCTGGTCGGGTTTCTGCGCGACCGACAAGCTACAGTAAGAGCGACTAAGCTAATTTCTGCTACCAGAGAGGAGACTTGGAAGTTACTGTCGGTGTTAGCTTTAAACGGATGACGATTGCTAGACGTTGCCTTTGCGGATAGCAATGACTGGTTCGTAGTCCACTTTTGCAAACCTCATATAGCTCTGTGTTTTTAGCGTACCTTACAGGAATTATCGCCGGTAGCGGGGGGACGCGCATCGTAGCCAAAAGTGGTAATCCGGATGACGCCTGATGTTTTACAGCAAAATCTGCCAACCATATGAAGTTGACAAGGGTGTGAATTGAATAACTGTCACATTTTTGGGATAGTCAATCAGTGGCAAGTAATGTACATTTAAGGAATGTAAGCGTCTGTCATGCCATGATCAGTAAGCCGTGGCCGTCGCAGTCTGGTGTGGTCTGCTTCCCTGCCAGTGGATGCGCCTCCGCTCCCGCTAACTCGTGAACATGGTTGCCCAGCCACCCTCTATCTGGCCCATTGTGGTGTTGCTGTTGCTGGTTGAAATCCTGGTGAAGTGTTCGTCGTGAAACAGTGGGTGTGGTGGTGCACCTAGGTGCGGGACCGGTCGTGCCAGCCATCTGCACCCTCTACCGCCTCTGGTCTTCTTGACACAGGGCCTAAGTGGAGAAGGGGGAGTGCGGTAGATGCTGCCCAAGTCCTCTCTTACTATAAATCAATTCGCGTGCTAGTCCCTGCCTCACCATGCGGTTGAGCGCGCAGTTGGTATCGTCGGTTGCGATGGTTGAACTATTAAGTAATGCACATGATCGACGGTGTTTCACTGCGAGGCGGGGTTAACGTGTCGACTTCCAAGTGCTCACAGAGTGAACTGCTTCTGATATGCCGCTGTTACGTGAGCTCACTGATATCTCGACTTAAGATTTTTACCGTGGGAAGTAACGACTGCGGTTGCTCAGATTTCAGGGTACATGATGCGCATTCAGAGGGTCGACTCTGGGGAAGCGTCTCGCAATTAGTTCTTTGGAATTTCGGGAGTTTCCTGTTGCCCACAATTTACTGGAGAATGTTGTGGTCAGTGAATTTACGGAAATGCCGGACAAATGCCGGGACATCGTCTGTATCGAATGGAATTTAATGAGAGCAGCGCTGGCCTATGGCTGATACCTGATTTATTGGTTTCTAACTGATGGTAGATAGGATCGCAAACACCCGCATACCACTTTTGCTACCCAACATAATGGGGGTTACTGTACTGTGTACTTGTCTCTTACATTTGCATACTGTCCCTCCTTGGCTGTTTCCAACGATTACGGAAGTAACTTTGAGTGGCAACGCATGACTGGTACCATTGAGACCTCACCCCCAGCTGAGAAATTGAAATCACGGAAAGGATTATCTTTAATGGAACAAAAGTGTGTTCACATTTTAAAGAAGAAGGAAAACAATTTGGCAAACTAGTCGGACTGACAAGAAATCAAGTTAACCGGTGCACAAATGCAACATAGGCAGCATCAAAAAGTAATTATAATAAACCACACTAAATGATGCCAAAAAGTAGGTCACTGATACGCAATGCAACTAAAGCAACTTATTGCTTGAATAGTCGACTCCTCGTGCTCGTGGTTGAATGAGGGAGGCGGGCGGGATGGTGGTGGTGGTGGTTTGGCGGTCTCGTATTCAAGGTCAGCAGTCAGCGGTCACTTCTTCATAGTCCTTCACCAGAGAAGAGATGTTTGCGTAGGCATCGACAAATTCCGCCTTCTCCATGCCCTCGCCGAGGTACCAATGCAGGAAGGCGCGCCGACAATAGAGGAGATGGTACTTGCGCAGCATACGCTCCCAGGCCTGGCTGACGGCGGAATTGTTCGCCAGCATGACTACGTTTCGGGCAGTCTGCGCAACGCCACTCTCGATTCGGTAGACTGGCGGCTCTCGCGCAATGCCCACCTTGAAGCCGGTGGGGCACCAGTCAACAAAATCCACGTCCTTGGCATTCTTCAGTTCCATCACAGAGTAATAAACCTGGCTTGGGTCCACATCGCCCCGGTACAGCAGGGTGCAGGACATATATTTTCCAAAAGCCGGATCCACCTTTATGAGCTGGTTCTCCCGTTCAAACACCTGCCTTGTGATGGAACGCGTGGATCCCTCATCAAAGTACTTGTTCTCGAGGGAAATACAGGGGGCAAAGTTAATTAACGGGAAGTGGATGCGAGGGTATGGAATGAGATTGGTTTGTACCACAGTGAAGTCACCTCCCAGGAGATTCTCAAACCTCACACTCGCCGTGATTGAGCTGACAACAATGGACACGATTCTGTTCAGGCCAGAGTATGTTGTATTGGTCGCGGGAAGGTAACGTGTGCAAATGTCGTAGAGGGCCTCGTTGTCCATAAGGAAGGCCAGGTTGTAGTCCTCGATGGAAAAGTGCTCTCCAAGTACACTGTTGTAGGGCTCTGTGATGGATGTGGATAATGTCGGCGAGGGGTAGATGGGCACTTCAACTTTGGTGATCTTTCTGTAGTCGCTCATGAGGTCTAGGAGGGCTGCACTCAGGCCAGCCCCCGTGCCCCCACCGAGGCTCTTGAAGAAGAGTACACCCTGGACAAAGTCGCAGGCCTCCATCGTGCGTCTAAACTCCTCAAACAGTCTTCCAAGTATCAGCTTTCCGGCGGTGAAGAAACCTCTGGCAAAGTTGTTAGCGGCATCCTCGTAGCCTGTGATTAGCTTGTCGGGATGAAAGAGCTTACGCCATGGTCCCACCCTCACTTCGTCTGTTACATGTTAGGAAAAACAGGTTCACAATTAAAGGAGGCTAAAACTCCAAGGGCCACTGTTAGTCATCATGATTAGATATATTAGGCATTTCGTTACTTCTGTTTTGTTGTTTCACCATGATAGCTCTGTAAGTGTTTGGGAATCAACAAGGAGGTCACCAGTTAGAGAACTTTACACGTTCCGAAATGGCGCGTGTGACCCCTGTAGGGGAACTTGTCCCTTTATAAACAACCATTTGGCCTGGCGTATAGCTTACATCCTAAGTACAGCATGAGTTTGCGATCGTCATTTGAATTGCCCTTGATTCTCACGGTCGCTGTTCTCGGCTAATTTTGCCCGCTTAAGGGGGGGGGGATGGGGTTGGGGATTTTGCCTGCCATCAAGCTGCCATCTTCTACGCTATCTTCAAAGAAGCCTTCATGGGATGGCAGAATTGAAGTCCAGACCGATGCAGTTCTCTGAGAGACAGCATACACCAAGTGTATAAGCCACAATAACAGCAAAGTCTTGTGAAATGTAAGCCGAGTGAAGAACAAGAACGTACTACGCGGCACGAGGGATTGTCTGTCTGTGTGGCGGAGTCCTAGTTTGGACGTCATAAACCAAAATGACTATAGGCAGCATGGTATTACCGACAAAGACAAGGGAGATTGGAATGGCCATTGCTAGCTTGTTAGCCGTCGTCATCCAGTCATACCCAGTCCCGAAGTGTGGAACACGCGAGGCTCGAACTCGCGACCTGTTAGTTAGAAGTCCACGCCTCTAACCATTGGGCAGATTCCAGTCTCCCTTGTCTTTGTCGGTAATACCATACTGCCTATATCATGCGCCACTGTGTGGTTGCTGGTTGGGCTCTAGAGAAAGCCCGTAAGGCACAACGGCATGAGTGAGTTCCGGTTCGGTGAGCGCCCCCTACCATCACAACGGCTATCGTCCTCAGTCAGCAACTGTCGATTAAGGCTTTCAAATGTGCTAGTGTCCTGACACTACGGTTGTGCATTTACGCAAGCCTAGTGAGTTATTTCAGGGAAAGACACACGTACCAGCCGCCCCGGAAGGAAGATCACATTAACTGTTTTCGCTTTTCTGACATGAACGTGGATCGCCTGAGGAGCTGTTTCCTCATTACGTCGGTAGTTGAACTTTTGCCTTCGATTTGACATTCAATCAGATAAAAAAAATGGTCCGCTTAAGCGATTGCTTAGATCGAACGGTCGTTTGACCAGCACTATCAGCACCTAGTTCTCGGCTAGTAAAAGTGGCAGCGGCCCCGAGCTGGACACAGCTAAACGCTGCTGAACCATTAACAGTCACCTTGCGAACCATCTGCAGAACGTTTTTACCCCAACTTCCGCTAGAGGCAATGAAGCGGTTTGAGTTTTGCTAAAGTACAGTTCCGCCCAACTTATACCCAACTTAATGCATTAGACTATCTCTCTCCCAGCTTGTGAAGTCCGATGGCTGAAGCAACGCCTCAATTTTTCCTCTCCCAGAGATACCAGTCATTCGTATTCAAACAACCTTTGTCTAATTTTGTGGTCATTAGTTCGCCAGTACTGCACGTGTGTCCATCTTATCAGTCGCCTCCGGAAAATCAGCACGAAAAATATAATGAAATATTTTAGGTGCCTTGTTGCCAAGTAATTCGGTGAACCCTCAAAGAAAATAATCGTGCCTATTTACCTGGGTTTGTAGAACTCGTTTATGCTCATAATGTTATTCTGTGTGATCTGCTTAGTGCAGCTCTCCTGGAAGGTCGGATTTGTTGTTCAAAATGACTCTCGTTCTCAAATTCCGCTTATTCAATTTGCCAATTGTAAATTTGTCCTCCTTTCAAACAAACTGGCACACTTTACGGTGTTTACTCTCCTCTCAACCTCTTCCTGCTTTGTATTAATGGTCTCAGACCCCTCTCAGGAATCGCTTAGTGATTGAGCATGCTAATGACATTGTAAATGGTAATTTTGCCCAAAACATTCCAGACTCTTCAGTTCAAAAGACCATTCGGGCGATGTGCCAGCGTGATTTTTATAGTGCTACGATGCTGAATAAACGAATATCAGGCGAGAGTGCTTTAACCGACAATATTACCCAGTGATGCGGGAAGTCCATCCGGGGAGCCTGACTTGGCCTTTCCACGCTTGTCCTGACATGCCTTTCTCTCTCTACAATTAATCGCGTTTTGTAAATAATGTGGCCTTTAAACCGACACAGCTTGTTTTGTATTTGCGCTTATTTACGTTCGTCAGCGCTTAACCTGATGTGTTATCTCCTGAAATGTTAATCAAAATGCTGACATGCCTTTTCAGCTCGAAAATACTTCTCAAGTACGATTGTCATGGTAATTGTCTTGCAGCATAATATCAAGATATCCTGGTCACGTCAGAATGCCGGCTGTCGAACAGGCCACAGTCATGGCAAAAATGCCATGGTCTCTATAGTTCTTCTTCATTATGTCATATCAAATTCTATGATCTACCTTACACAAAAGGTATAGAAGTTGCAGTTTGGAAACCTTGGATGCAAGTGCAATGGCGGATCAGGTCCAAAATTAGTCAGGAAGTGAAAAAGTGTTTAAAACTGGAAGACATTTTTTCTTTAAGTAAATACCTTAAAAGCGATTAATTCGCCACCAAATTTATAAAAGCACGAATATTTTTTTTTCAGATTTTCTGTAAAATACATCTGACTTTACGCAGCTGGCAATAATCGGTGGGAATAATCCGTTTCACATGAATAGTCATTTTTTACTGAATTTGGGTTATGCTAGCGGTTGATTTGAAGCTCATTCAAAGGCCGGCATCGTGACGTGACTGAAATACCACAACATTATACGACGAGATAATTAGTATGACAACCACACTCAGGCAGTCCTTACGAGCAGAAAACACACTCCAGAATTTCGGCAAATATTTAATGAGATACCATATCTACTCTATGTATGTCTCCGTCAAATAGTGTCTTATTATATACCAGTTGTATACTTATTTAAAAAAATAAGTCGCTCTGCCTCGCCATACTCATGGTCAGTTTTGCGGACATGTAGATCGCGGAGTCGCACTCTCCCTTCCTCACTTCCCACCTGGACCCGGTGTCAAGACGGAGTCAAGTTGACCGGGGTTGGGGGGAGGGGGCGCAGGTGTCTGGCATGGCCGGGCCCGCGGCCTAGGCGCGCCACCACCTCCCCCCGGTCCACAACATACACTTTACCAGGATTTTTCACCAACAAGAACAACAACACCCCAACAGGAGTCAGAAGGACGAGGAGGATTGGGCAGCCATGCCCGCCGCCTGTTTACCCAGCGGGAGCGCAAGCGCATCTAAAGGCAGGGGACCGCGTGTCAGGAACCTGCCAGCGCATACCTGGCTGCGACGGTCATGATTTCCTGATGCTGGCACAGCACACACTTTCGGATCTTTTGACCGATTGCCTAACCAGTGCCAGTATCCCTAACACGCATCCGCCGCACCTGCCTTAACTGCCCGCGCTGACCAAGCCTATTCAGTCAACGCATGAGCTTAGCCGGTCACATGGGCCTCCGCTAAATCGGTGATAAGCCGCTGCAGACGAGACCTCATCACCACGCACTTCCACAACAGTGCTTACATCACACGGGAACCCGTCCCACATCAGCCAACATAGGCAAGGAAGGAATCGACACCTGTTACGCGAGTACAAACGTGTTCTCTACGTCCTCCTACTTGTGGCCTCTATGGCACTTTAATGCATATTAAACCCAGGCAGGCCAGCTGGCGTAGTTTGCGGCGCCAGGTCGTGTGCGACAAGTGTAGATTGGCTGTCTAGCTCAGTCAGTCACATGAGTCCAGTCCCCGCATCAGGCGAATGACCGGCTTGGACAGTGGGCTGGCGTCTTGGAAAAGGGAGAGAGAGAACGTGGTTGACTGCGTCCCCACAGAACACGGCAGATTTTCCTCGCTATAAACAATCTGACGCTCTTTTAAACTACTACCGTGCGCTAACAGATCTGTGGCTTGGAAGGCTGCCAACTAAAGGGATAGCTCGGTCTTCCTGTAAGAACGGAGAGTTAGGCTGCAATGGCTCCTTTTTGGCGTGGCATTTATGACATTCCCATTCCGTTGCGATCGGAGCCTCCACGCTGTTGTTTTGGTGGAATCGTGGTCCATTGTGCGCGGACTAGGCGTGGTTGTCATTCAATGCTTTAGCAACGGTAGGGAGCGCTCGCCGATCGTTCATACGGAACTCACTCGTTCCGTTGTGCCTTATGGGCTCTCTCTGTCGAGCCCAACCAGGAGCCGCGCAGCGGCGCAGGATATAAGCAGAATGTCATTACCAACAAAGACAAAGAAGACTAGATTGGCAATTTCTGGCTTATTAGCCGTCGTCAGCCAGTCATACCCAACCCCGAAGCGTGGAACACCCGAGGCTCGAACTCGCGACCCGTTAGTTAGAAGTCCACACCTTTAACCACTGGGGCACGGGCTAATAAGCCAGAAATGGCCATTCCAGTCTCCCTTGTCTTTGTCGGTAATACCATAACGAAAAGCTCCTTTTTGTTTTTCAGCCCGCATAAATCACTTGAGGTAAGATGTGAGCAAGCGTGTTATTAGCTGAAAAAAACAGAACTTCCTGCTATCTTAAACATTATAGAGGGCGGTTCTGCCCTGAAACAAAACAATAACGTCATCAAGCGATCTTCTGCCGATATTCTAAATTGTGCGACAAAGACAAGGGAGACTGCAATGGCCATTTCCGGCTTATTAGCCGTCGTCAGCCAGTCATACCTAACCCCGAAGTGTGGAACACCCGAGGTTCGAACTCACAACCTGTTAGTTAGAAGTCCAACGCCTCTAACCACTGAGCCACGGGCCCGCTGTCCTGTCGGTTTTGATCGGGAATACCTATCTCATGCGCCGCTGTGCGACTGTTGGTTGGGCTCGAGAGAGAGCCCCTAAGGCACAACGGAACGATCGGTAAGCGCCCCCTGCTATTGCATATTCCTGATCGAAACCGACGGGACAGCAGGCTCGTGGCCCAGTAATTTGAGGCGTGGACTTCTAACTAACAGGTCGCAGGTGTTGCACACTTCGGGGTTGGATATGACTGGCTGACTACGGCTAACAAGCTAGCAATGGCCATTCCAGTCACGCCTGTCTTTGTCGGTAATACCATGCTAGGATATTTAGCTTTATCGGCCAGTTTACCTGATCCCGCTTCCCGTCTTCTCGAATCTGCCATGACAGCGGGGTGGGTCCGGTGGGGAAAGCGAGAGCGCTGTAGATGTTGCGAAAGTCTACTACCACTATAAACTTCATTTCGCGTAAGTTAACCTCCCTGCGGCGTCAATGCTTTGGAGCGCACGGTGGACAGCGTCGGTAACGACGATCGGACGGTCAGTTAGGCTGGAAACTTATAGAATACCAGAGTAGGCGAGCCCTCCTTCTCTGTCCGAGGTCAGCGGTCCCCCCTGTGTCCTGCCCCTTCTCGCATGCTTCGAGGGTCACAGGCATGATTACGCGCACAAGAACAATATTAATGATTGACAAATTGCACCAGTTTCAGTCGGCCAGCCCAAACTCACCGATAACTGTGGGTTCCAGGTCAACAAATATAGTTCTTGGCACGTAATGTCCCGAGCCGGATAGATTGAAAAAGGTCTCGTGCCACTCAAGCACATGCGGTGGCTCGAACAGGGTTCCATCAAGGTTTACTGCGTGTTCGGCACAGAAGAGCTCCCAGACAGCGTTTCCCATCTGGCAGCCACATTGACCGACATGGACTGTAACTACCTCCCTCTTGAACAGAAAGAATGGAGATAAATTGGAGTGCAGAAGAGGTTTGAGTGATGGTTATCATTCATTTTGAAATCAGCACAAGGTCATGTGTGGGAGGAGGAGCAGAAGTCACCCAGACGTTCGCATTTACCAAAAGGCGGAACTGCAGGTACGCCGAAAATGCTCCTCCGGGATTTGGCACAAGTGGTTTCCCTGAGTGAGGCATTTTGCGGGAAATTCGCCGGACAGAACTCTGAGTTGTATTTAGGCAGGGACTTTAGCTCACCCTCTCCCGCCCCGAACTCTGACCTCCACAATTCGCAATTATTGCCCCCCTTAGGGTATAGATTAATTTCGCAAAAGCGCCACTCCTCCATTGATAAACTGACCCTCTTCATTGATCCAGACTTCTGGTTTCGCAAGTACTCCATCTAGAGGGTTTAGGCAGCTGAAACCTTCACGACTTGTCTACGACGAGTGGTGAGGTTATGTAGACCCACCTGAAGTAAACAAACCCTCTAATGCGGGACCGGCGGTAGTAGACGTTTTCACAGGTAGGAACGGGGAATGCACAGGTGACGAGGTAAGTAGTTGTATGCAAAAGGGAGGCTATTGGGAATGCGCAGTTGTACTTTGAATAGTTGAGAAATAGTTGCGCTAACCCCTAACCTTGACTCTAACCCCTTACCACAACCCCTAACCATAACGTCAATCCCTAATCCCTAACCCTAATCATTAACCCCAACCTTAACAGTATTGTGTCCATCAGGTGGGGCTACCAAATCACATCTTACCCGCATGGCGCCGGTCTCATTGAAATATGAGACATAAATGAAAAAATTTTCGTAATCTTGTTCGTAGTTCTGCACCTCTATTAGGGTAATAATCTGCCTCTTTCAGCAATTAGGGCTGCTGTGTGCGAAAAAATATTCAGCGTACAATAGCACGTTATCGATGCGCGTAAAATCATTGAATCTACCAAATTTAGTAAATTAATAAAAACACAATTTTTTGGCATCTCGCGTTTATAGGAATACTCATTATAAACCAGAGCTTATATTGCATCTGCGGGTTTATACAGAGACACATTCCATAAGCTGCACACTTAACATTGTTCGATTTATCTGCATAAGGCCTTATTTCAATACGATTCTCGGTTAATCTGTAAATAATGTTATTTTCCCATGGCCACAGAGTACCCACTTAATGCAATAAGCCAATCCAACAACAGTGCCAGCTGATATTTAATTCTGTTCATTCGGGGTCTGAAACCTTCCTCGAATGAAAATGCACTTTGCAGCGGCACAGACAGACATAACTCCATGCAAAAATCTTCACCGCATTTACCGACAGGAATATGAAAAAAATCAAGCTCCCAGTGAAAAAATAGGTGTTATCCGAAGGATAGTGGGAATCTGTCGAGTGACCTGGAGGCAGAAGATATCCGCGGAGGATATCGCACCCTTTTAGCCTTCCACTAAACTAGCAAGGTTCTATCTTTTAATATAGTAGACAATAAAATTCAGTAACTTAATAATATACAGTAGTTTGGCTAACTCATGAAGTGTCGGCCGAAATTCCGAAATGCGTTTTCGTCCCAAAAAAGATTAATTAAGTAGGGTCGCAAGATTAGTCAGCCTGCAAGATAATTCTATAATATGTCAGTTACCTCAGGATGTCGGCCTTCGAAGAAACTTTTTTCGACCACATGCAGAAGCCGCACTCTGTGAAAAATACCTACTTAAGCAGCATGCATTTTTCCCGATGATTCAGTTATACATAATGGAAAACATGCATACAAATATTCATTTTTTTGCTCGTTCGGTAGAAAATTACGTCTTCTTCCAATGTTATTCTCGAAGGAAGTGTATTATTCGGTTTTGAGAACGTTTCCAATTGTGAGATTTTTAATACCGTGAGATGGTCGTTCATAAAACGTCATGCCTCTGCATTTAACAATGTGGCTTGTAGACTTAAAAGTTTGACCCAAATACACTGTAAATTTTATGAACGCCACATATTCTCCTCTTAATACCGTAGAGAAAAATATGGTTTTCCGTGAGCGGAAAATAGACGGCTTGTAGTTCGTAAACTCTGAATGCAAGTGTAACCGCAGGTCAGGTTTAAAAATTATTTGGGAATTGGAAAAGCTTTTGAAAATCGAATTATACCCTTCCTTTGAGTATAAAATCGAAAGGAGACGTAGTTTTCTACCGAATATGCAAAAGAATGAATATTGTTTGCATTTTCTCCATTAAATATGATTGCATTTTTAGGGGCATCGAAAATAAATGAGAAAATTGCATGCTACTTAAGTGGTCCCCTTTGCTGAGCATAGTTCTTGCATGCAGTCGAAAATAAGTTCTTTTTAAAGCCGGCACCCTGAGGTAACTGAATTGTTATGGAATCACGCTCTTCGAAGACTAATTTCACAACTCTGTTGAATTAACCTTTTCGAAACGAAAACGCATTTCGGAATTTCGGTTGACATGTCATGAGTTAGCCTACCTACTGTAGTAGGTCGATCGGCCCGGAATTATTGCGTTACGGTTTACGATCCGATTTTTTTCCAGTGAACATCCCAGACGCAAGAACCTCTGACAAAGGGTGATGCTGACTACTACGGCGCCGATGACAAGGACCGTGATGATGGTGATGTTGAGGATGATAATGATAGTGATGAGGAAGATGATGATTATACTTCGACCGTCTTGAACGACGTCCACCGCCGTCCCATGCAGTCAGCCCAACAGCGGTGACTTGCGCGCGGCGTAATTTATAGTGAACTCTGCGCAGTGCCCTCACTTCACTCCCCCTTCTTCTACCCACTTTGTTCCGGCGGCAAGAAAAGGACAAGATGACCGCGGGTGGTCATGAGCACACTGACTGTGAAGGCAAAAAGCCCGTCCACGCGTGCCATCTACTATTGTGGCTGGTTAGGTTCAAAGGGGATCTCTTAGCGCAATTTAGCGATAATTCAGCACGAGCCAAGTAATGGAGAAGTCATTGAGCCCTGACTTTCAGTCTCGCCCACTTCCCAGCCCACGACTGTTGACGCGTAATGACAGATTTAAGCGCGTCAGGCCGATTATAGGGTGGAGTGTACGGATTTACCGTGAGTGTGTATTCCGCACTTTTGAATTCACCCCCCTTTACCCTGCTCCACTCACCAATGACAGAAAACAGGGTATGGAGCAGTGGCGGACAAAAATAAACAATCCGTTTACGTCTATCACACGACCTGTTCTCTCCCACACGTGAACCAGACTACACCAAAAAATTCTTTTCTCACGTAAATGAGATGATCACATTCTCACAGGCAACGTCACAATGACGTTGACAAATTTCAGCACACATTTTTTTGCATGAGAGATGTATGGTGTTCTGTTGACACCTTTCGCGTAAACTTGAGTGGTCTCTATGGCGCTCCCACCTAGTGGAATGCGAGCCACCTCCCCTTCTTGCCGTTGTCTAAAGTTCTGATCAGTGTATCCTGTGGACCCGGGGGTTTGGTGTTACACCTAGGCGCGGTTTTTCGCCGTGCTTCCGGTTTTCCTGACTGACTTGTCACGGGGTCTGGATTGGTAAGGGAGGAGAAAGGGTGGCAGGTGCTGTCCAAATCTACTGTAACATTAACTCAGTTGTAAGCCACCGTGCCTGCTTTTGTCCTGCCGTTGGATATCGTCGACAACGACGGTCGGGCTGCCACACTCGTGTGACCGAGTGTGACCATGTATAGACCAAGGGAGTTTACTTGTCCTGTTAGTGGGCAGACGTGTGAGGAGCTCTGAATCGTGATGCTTTATTGGAGATTCTCGCGGATGCTCAAATGTCTGAAAAAAACTAACTTGATACCTGATTACCCTGATTTTATGTACGTATGTGAGATTATAGCGAGATCCGCAGTTCTCCAGCGGGAAAACATCGGGTCCCAAATCAACTCTATTTAAAATTCACAAATTCGGTATCCCCAAATCACGGGCAAACTTGCGCTCTTATCCCCGTGAGATGTGGCGACAAAGACGAATTGCCCAAGACTTCATGGATGTCATCATCATGCCCTTTCTTAAATACAAGGGAATCCCCTAAGTCTGTGACAATCACAAGGACATCTTTCTCCTCAACACTGGAGACAGACCTTCGCCCCAGTCCTACTAAATCGTCTGAACACGCATCTGGAGCAGAGTCTGGCGGTAGAAACACAATGAGGATTCCGAAAACACCTTGACATCACAGACATTATATTCGAGGCCGAGCAGTTGCGAAACGATGCCCAAAAATGCGGACCAGCCTCTATACGACCTTCATGGACTTGATTGATCCCTTACGCACCGTAAATTGTGATGGGTTCTAAAGAATCATGCTGGAAGTCGGACGTCAGGATCAATTCAGACAGACAGACAGACAGAAGACTACACGATGGGATGATGGCGTACGTCACAGACAGGCAACTGGTCTCAGGAGTGTTCGTGGTGAAAAATAGGGTAAATTAAGGCTGTATATTAACCCCCCCCCCAAGTCTCTTCCTTTTCCGCGAGTAACGACCGGGAATCAGCACCAACGATCAACCTGATTGACATCTGCGCAATGTTCGACTCATGAAGTCGTCATAGAGAACCTTCAAGGCAAAAATTCGCAACCTCCTGTTCCTGAATGAGAACGTGCAGCGGAGTGTGGACCTCCTTTCTACAGGCTGTCCCAAATTAAGATAGACAACCGCGGAGAAGAAAACGATCGTGCCCCAGTCGGGACCAAATGATGATGGCAAAGAAAACAGGGTTAATGTCAGTGACGCTGGCCCTACACAAGCGGACATATTCTCCTACCTGGAAAGCACAAATTCAGTAAGTATCGAAGACGGCATGGAAATTTCCGGTCGTATCTCAAAAGCTAGCTAGAATTTTGGACAGCTACAGCATTCCGTTCGCATTCATTCACTCTCTGCCTGGAAAAGAAGATGAATATGCATCGAGCCGTCA